TTTCAGCTTGAATGTGCCGCTAAAAACAAAAAGACGCTTTTTGAGAATGTCATCATCGACTGGAGCTTTCAGCCGGAGGATCCATCGACTGACTTTAGCGATGATGACATTGATGATAAGGTAGGGACTTTTTTGTGTTAAAACATTGTTCCATTTGGTGACATTGTTTTCATTATTCAGAACTGGGTACTCACTCCGGAGGAGATGAACATCTTCAGACGAGGAAACATCACCAATGGCACCGGGTCGGTGGTCAATCGGCTGCGAAATAGCAATCGCAAGCTGTCCTTTGGCAAGTTTAATGCAGTGGAAGGGGATGGAAGCACAATTGACCAAGTAGGGAAACTTTTTAGCTTATTTGGTATTAAAATCTAATTCGACCACTTTGTTTGCTTTTGCAGCCAAATGGCAGTTCATTCTCCAGCCACCCCCTCAAGTCAAACTCTGCCTCTCGACCTTCCAGTGTCATCGGTGATGTTCACGTGATCAACATTGACGCGGCAAACCAGCCCAATCTGAGCAGTTTCAAGTCTACCTCGGTGTCTGTGGGCACTGCTGCTGCCACTCCCTCATCCGAGGCGCACAGTGATCTGCAGTTGCCGGCCGGCAACTTTATTCGCGGTCCAAACGGAAACGCCTCGAACAGGAACAGTAGTCGGAGTAGGGCTCGTCACTCTGCCGGCCACGAAACGGCGTCCACCTTTGTCGCTGAAGCTGCCTCAAAGTCGATGGAGCCTCAAAGCACTATCAGCACCACTACCACTACCACCGCCTCCAAAGTACTTCCACCGGTGGGACTGGCACCGAATCGGGCTTTTGTTTCCGGTCACTCTCGAGCCGCCNCCGGCAACTTTATTCGCGGTCCAAACGGAAACGCCTCGAACAGGAACAGTAGTCGGAGTAGGGCTCGTCACTCTGCCGGCCACGAAACGGCGTCCACCTTTGTCGCTGAAGCTGCCTCAAAGTCGATGGAGCCTCAAAGCACTATCAGCACCACTACCACTACCACCGCCTCCAAAGTACTTCCACCGGTGGGACTGGCACCGAATCGGGCTTTTGTTTCCGGTCACTCTCGAGCCGCCTCGGCGGACATTAGCAACTACGCCACTGCTACCGGCTTCGGAAAGCAACAACAACAGCTGCAGCAGCATAATAACAGTCACATCATTGCACCGACGACAGTGGGTGCCACCACCTCCACCCACTCTCCGTCTGTGAGCATTAACAGCAGCAGCACTGGTGGGAGGCCCGAGTCCAATCTGACCGTTCGAAGTCGGAACATGCACCACGCGCGTAACAACTCAGTGGACAACTCGCTGGTCACTTCAGGCGGCGGCGGCTACCAAGCGTTTGCCATCAACTCGGGCAGTCAGACGAACATTGTTACCTCGGGTGGATCAGGCAGTACTGCTTCAAGTGCTTCGGGGGTGTTGGCCAAGCCCGCAATACCTGCCAAGCCGTCGGGCATTGTCTCCGTTTTTGTGCCCGGATCGGCGAGCAATCTGTCGATGAGCAGTGCCACCAACAGCAACAAGAGCACGGGGAACATCTACAGCAAAGTGACGCTGAACAGTAGCAACAGTGGTGGTGGCAACCTAGCACCTTTCAATAATCGGGAAGGTCCTCCTCAAACGACGAATCAGCCCAGTCAGGTAAAGCCAGCGCCCTATCAGGGAAGCAGCTTTTTGCCAGCAGGCGCCTCCACTCCCATCGGTCCCAGTGTTTCAAGCTGTGTGCAAAAGCCAACCAGTAGTAGCAGCAGTGCACTCCTCCCAGTGCCGCCGCCGAGAAAGGTTTGTTGTTGTCGGCGTTTTTAGAATTTTTTAATGATTTTAATATACTTTTTAATGGTGACAGAAACCACACGGTGACCAGTCGCCCTTGCCCAGGTACCGGCGAGCCATTGCACTGTACGACTGCGACGCCGATCAAACCGATGAGCTGTCCTTCAAAGCCGGCGAGGTGATCCTCGTGCTGAACGAACGGACAGCCGATGAGGACTGGATGTCGGGCATCATGGAGAGTGACCCCTCCAGGGAGGGCCTCTTTCCCGCCATCTTTGTCGAGTTCATCTAGTAGGGCAACATCAACATCTCCTGCCCTTTCTTCAACACACATTCCATCATTGTTTTCCCCATCCTCCTTCTTTGTGGGCACTATTACAACTACTTCACCCCCTTTGATACCGATGAGTCCTTCTCCCCCTAAAACTCTACCTACAAAAATCGCCTCACAACGTCTTGAACAACCTACGAAACACTCCCTTTTGTTCAGTCTCTCACAATCCCTTTCTAGTCATTTCTATCTTCAAACACACCTCTCTCTTTCTCTCTATCTACAACCACCACCACAACCTCTATCTATATCTCCTTTTTTGCATTTTATTGTGATTTGCCAAATCATCTTATTTCTTTCTTCTTTCTGCATTTTACAACATTTTTTTATTTGAAAGCTGTCTCAAGTTGATTTGTCAGCACCACACATCCTTGCTTTATTCACGATTCATCCTCCCGCTGGACTGCATAATTGACTGAGAAAAATGTTGTTCATTTGTTACTCTTGTTCAAACAAATTGACGTATACTCACATGTACTTTGACTTTAAGCATAACAAACTGTGCACAGATAATAAAATCACAAATGTGAAAGCAATTTGAGATAAAGAATGGATTTGAAAAATTGAATCTTTTTTTT